AAGCACCGTAAATTCGCACTCGCCAAGCTCAAGACTCTTTAGAACTATCAGCTGCACAAATGAAGGAAAGAGCAGCTGCTCCGTGGTATGCAGGTGAAGAGTCTCGAGGTTACTAAGCCATCCAATCCTTTTTGGGAGCACCATCAAACTGTTTCTTGCGTCGAGTGTCTTGAGAGATGTGAGGCTGCAAAAATCTGTTGGAAGATGGTGCATTAAATAGAGATCACGCAGGAGCAGCTTTTCCAACGATGTACCTCGGCAGAGGGAGTCAGGTAGCTTGCGAAGAGGCAGGTCCTCCAGCATCAGTGACTTGAGCGCAGGCAGCTGTCCAAATTCCTCAGGCAGCCTTCTAAGCAAGCACCCGGTGATCGAGAGGCGCTCCAATGCAGTTAGGGCTGTGATATTATCGGGGAGCTGGTCGAGCTGAGAACAATCCCGAATGGTCAGTTGATGGAGGCATGGCAGAAGCTCGCCGATGTCATCAGGAAGGCGCTGGAGGTTGGCGGATTTGGAGATCACCAGCTGTTCTAGGCGAATGCACGGTGATCCTGTGGGAAACATTGAAGTGAAGCTGAGATTGGGAATCTGGAACTCAAATGACTCGAGATGAGGTAGCTGAGCTACTGCAAAGATTGCAGCTGGTGGATCATTCTTGGGGATGCAGAATTCACTGGAAATCGAGAGTCTAGAAAGTCTTGCAATGCAAAAGAGGCTTGACAACTCCTGATGTGTCAATTTGGAGACATTAATATGGAGGGATGTGAGTGAAGAAAGTCTTGTAAATCTGGGGAATGTCAAGGCTGAAACGTTGGTTAGAGAAACTGTGTGGAGCTGCTGCAGCTGAAAGAAGGAATCCGGAATTTCAGTATCTTTATGGAGGCAGTGAAGTGTAATCTCCTCCAGCTGAGTGCACTTCAGGAAGAGAATCTCCAGACCGGCTTCAGTAACTGGGTGCTCATCCTTGTTTCCTCCACATTCCGTCAGTGTGATCCCGCGACCCACGTGAAGAGCCTTCAGCGTAGGCCGTGAGGAAGCAAGGCGAGCGAGGAAAGCGTCGTTAATCATCTCGACACTGCTGTCGCTCAGGTGAAGATTCGTAAGGTTGTCAAAAGCAGCTACGACGTTCGCCAGATCTTGACGAGATACAAAACAGTTCTCCTGGACCAACATGCTGGTGACCAAACACTTAACTAGGTGACGCCACCGACTACATACGGACGCGATGAGCAGATTAGATGCCGCATCTGTTAAGGCTGGAGGAATAAACTTGTTCGACCTAAAATGCCAAAGAGGAAGCGAGTCACATGAGGAATCAGAACCTCTTCGTAAAGGCATCCCATGCTGAAACCATAGAATCCTTGTGAGAGGTCATCTGAAAGTCGATCAATGTGTGAGAGACGCTCCATCTAAACTTCACGGATCGACCGCAAGGACTACTTAGAAGAGTATGAAACGATATCTCCTTTCCCAGATCTAAAATGACAAGAACATTAAGAGAAGTCGCTCATACGCGGATCTCACAATCTCAGCTCCTCGTTCCGTGTCTAATATAGAAATTTGGAAAACACGCAGCACCATTCGCTTGCTGACCTGCGGTTTGGAGGTAGTCAAGTACGCGCCGTGCTTGTGTTGTAGGAAGAGCTGTCGATTTCAGTGGAGACGCTTAGGCCTTGTCGAAGCTGGGCATGGTGGCTGATGTGCTTTCCTACTCTCGAGATCGCCCATGGCTAGACCTGACGAAGCAGCAGGCGAGCGAGAGCTTTCTTGGCTTCATGGGATCACCTACGGAAAGCCCAAGCTGGGCTAAGCTGACTAAATTTCGCGCTGGACTCAACTTCACCTGACTGGGCTTGGGCTATGCTGCAAGGGAATCTCGCTTCGCTCTGGGTATGTGGTCTCACCCTGACGAAATCATGCTGTGCTTGCTCGGCTCGGCTCGGCTCAAATTGATCTGGCTCGGCTAGATTCGGTTTGGCTCGGCCAAAATCTACTTGGCCAGGCCTCCATCTCAATTCGACTTTCCAAGCAAGTCCGACACTCAGCGACAATACTTCGTGTGTGAGGGGGAAAATGGTGTGAAGAGGGTTAGCAAACAGCTGAATTATGTAACATGATTTCCGAAATAGGCTCCCGCCGGAACCACTTGCACCTGTCTTCAGCAACCCTAGCTTCCATTCGTACTTTCCCGTACTCATGTTATTTGCCCTTCGTATATTCACCTATCTCGCAATGGCAGACACAGCGACGATCAATTGCTCGGGAACGAATACGCCAATGGGGATTAGCCATTTGCCTGACGACGCTCTCGTGATTATTCTGGCGCATTCCGTTAAGGAGCACGTTTTCCGCAGATCCACTAGTGACTCTTTATGGCAGCACTTAGAACAGAAGCCGAGGTCCCTTTCCGAGCACTACTTAGAAGAAGCCTCATTCTCATACCAGAAAGTAAAAACCGCTTTACCAATCCCGCCGTCATGCACAGACGCTGCTCGCACACTTGCCATCGCGTCCGTCTGCCGCCGTTGGCGCCGTCTCGCTAAGCACCACACCTCCACGCTTCTTGTCAGGGAAGACCTGAACGTTTCCCGTCGAGATTTCGCAAATGTTATCGTTAGTTTCCCCAACTTGACGTGCCTTCATCTGTGCGACGGTAGCGTGGAAACCCTAGACGACGCCTTCCTCGCACACCTCGCCTCTGCGTGCTCCAAACTGATGGCGCTGCACGTGGGAAGTGGAATCACACCAACGAACAATGGCGGGGCGAAAGACGAGTATCCGATCACCGAAGCAGGCTTGGATCATTTCTTTTCGCAGTGCACTCGCCTTGCGCACCTTTCGCTAAGCTGTCTTCACAAGAATGCTCAACTACCCGCTTCCTTATTTCAATTAACTAACCTGCACTCTCCTACTACAAGACACTTCAGCACTCGAATCTCCCAATCTCACCAACCTTTCTTCTCTCACATCTCTCCACATTCTTTCCCCAGTACTGCCAGATCACCATCTTTCAAACCTCGTTCACCTGTACATCCTGCGAATTCCAAAACCGTCGACCATCTGCAGCCTTTTCCATCTCGCAGCTTCCGTGCCTGCAGTCCCTTACAGTCAATGCCTCTTGCTCGCAGTTCGACCTCCTGTTTCCTCCCGCCTCCCCTTGCACAGACCTCCAAGAGTTACTCATTTCCGATAACGATTCGCTGCAGGCCCTTCCAGAAGGCATAGGGGACTCCCTTCCTCTCCTTGGCAGACTGAGCATCCGCAACTGTAAATCCTTCTCCCAGCTGATGCCTGACGGGTTGACCTCCCTGTGGCATCTGGAGAGCTTGACATTAGCTAAGTGCAAACTCCTTACCACCCTGCCTGAAGAGGTCGGGTTTCTGCCCCAGCTGAAAACACTCGTGCTGCATAAACTGCCTCTCGAAAATCTCCCCGACTCCCTCTGCCGAACCACATCTTTGGAAACTCTTTTCCTGGTCAAGTGCCACAGAATCCACCACTTCCCGGAAGGTTTCTGCAGCCTGCCTACTCTCAAGACGCTGTGCCTCGTGCAGGTGCCACGCTTGAAGCTTCCAGCCGATCTTGGAAGTCTCACCAGTCTCGAAACTCTTTTTGTAAAGGACAACTTCGGAAAACAGCTGCCACTGACATTCACCCGGCTGATTTCCCTGAGGAGATTGGAGCTGGATAGCTGCATGTTTCGCGATCTCCCACAGGGCGTGGGTCAGCTGCGTAACCTGACCGAGCTGCATCTTTGCTTCTGCCCCAACATCAGGAAGCTTCCTGAGTCCATCACACGCCTCAGCAACCTTGGGTCTCTCACAGTGGAGGATAGTGAGAAGCACTTTTCGGTGCTGAGAAGCTTGTTAAGCCTGGGGAAGCTGAAGCGATTAAAGTTGGCAGGGTGTGACCAGCTGCGAGCGCCACCTGACGGTCTTCCTCCCTTTCTTGAAGTCATCAGCCTTGGGAACTGCAAGCACATCATCCCGCTGCCTGATATCTCGAATCTGCCAAAGCTGACAAGGTTGGGTCTGAACCTGGTGGGTGCAGGGCACGCGGTAAGAATCAGCACCAGTGTGACGCATTTGAAGCACTTGAATCTGGTTCTGGCTGCAGAAGCAGAGGAGCTGTCCTTTCCATTGTCCGCTTGCCCTCATCCACGCACCCTGGAGATTTCAAGGGCTGGGAGGATCAAGAGGCTGCCTGAAACCATTGGTTCGACTTTGAAGCAGTTACGCTGCTTGAGGATACACTGTTTCCCAAAACTGAAGGTCTTGCCAGATTCTGTCACTGAGCTTCAGAATCTGTCAGATCTGGAGGTTTTTGTTGCATAAAGCCTAGTCACCCTTCCGGTCCGCATCGGTGCGTTGTCTCGACTGCGTAGTCTGAGCTTGTTTGGCTGCCCTGCCTTGCAGCATCTGCCCGCTTCCCTCACGCAGCTTGCATGCCTCCACAGCCTGGCGATTAGAGCCTCTGCCATTCGCTTCCTCCCAGCCGATTTTGCACGGTTAGCCAGGCTCAAGAGGCTCAGTTTGCAATTGTGCGAGCAGCTGCTGGCTCTTCCTGGAGATTTGACTGAGCTGAAGATGCTGCAGTATCCGAATGTTGAAGGGTGCAGGCGGTTGGCTGGCAGGGAAGAGTTTTTTCGACCTGGAGGAGTGTATACGAGAATGTCTACACTGACGATTATTGCTTAGCTTGCCTTCTGATAAGTCATAGGCATTAGTCATATAAGTTTGTATGTGCGGACCGTATCATCCTTGACCAATTCGTATCACTGAACTTATTTCACTTTAGAACAATACAAAGACGAAACCCACAACAAATAATACCAGTAACTCGCACGAATACAGTATACGTTAGGATACAGACACTACAAAGCATTGGTGCTGTGGGAACGCCATCAGCCAAGGAAGGCTTGATGCCGAGTGTTGGGCTAAAAAAAAATGGAAGTGCTGCTACCCAGCCTAAACCATCAGCCCCGTTTGCTGATGCTCCTTCAGTCAAGCCACTGCAGAATTAAAAGGAAGATACAGTAGGAGGAACAGGGTGTAGCCATGCAACATGGAAGAAATGGCTGATTCAACATAATTTATCTCTGAATATGTTCAAATTGGATAGAGGAGAGTGGTTGGCTAGGAATAAAAAAAGTTAGAAAGTTAAATGCGAATGAACACCCGGGGTTGCCTCCCTCAGGATGCACTCACAGACAACAATCAACTCACCACGGCACTCCTTAGCTCTGGCATTGTCGGCTTTAGACCCCCCTGGCACAGACACTTGCGCTCGTCGTCCCTCAAAATGCACTTAGCCACAACCCCACAGGTTTGAGTCGACTCAGAACTCGACTCACGATGCACTCACACTCGCTGATCAGGCGCCACACACTGATCAAGCACCACTCACCATGGCACTCCTTGGTGCTGGCATCGTAGGCTTGAGACTCAGGGCACAGGCACCTGCGCCCGCCGTCCCGCTCCCTCAGCAAAGAGCGGGTGGCTTACAGTCCATACTGCAGCCTAGGGGGAAGCACAGCGAGTTTTTTTTTTTTTTTTTTTGGCGCCTAAAAAATACAGTCCATACTGCAGGCTAAGGGGAAGCACGGGGAGTTTGTGAAGGCAGAGGGACAGGGAGGAGGGAGGAGGAAAAGTGGGAAGGAGGACGGAGAAGGTGGAAAGAGCACGTTGCGTTTGCCGTCCCTCAGTATGCACTTAGCAACAGCCCCACAGTCCAGATCGCAGCCTTTAGGGAAGGAGGAAGGAGAAGATTGAAACAGCAAGGCTTATGGTACAAATCAGGCAGTTTGGATCAATCAGTGACGATTTTCTTGCAGTTGGTGGTACCAGGGATGGCAGAATTTGCGCGTGTGCATAAGAAGCCGACTAGACTTTTCAGGGTAGTTTTGGGATCACTCACAAGAATACCCATCAAGCAGTTGAAACCAGTTAGTCACGATCCTAGGGCACTTGGACCCAGGGAAGGTGGAATAATGTGCATGTAATAAATCTGCCGACTAGACATATGCAACAACACAGCAAGGGACTCCCTCGAAGTGGTGCCATGCCTGTGCATATGACATGTGCGACGAATTTTTTAGCGCCTTTTCAGGCGCCTCAGAATTAGTCTTTTGAGGCGTCTGGAAAATGTGAAATGCATCAAAGGCGTTTCATGCATAGAAAACGCATCAAAGGCGTTTCAGGCATATATATAAACGTGCATCAACGAGGCTAGGTACCAGTTGGGCAGAGCATAGATACATCAATTAGTGCACCCACCTGCACAGCCCACCCACCTGCACAGCCCACCCCCCTGCACAGCCCACCCACCCTACTCGCCCTACTTATCCCACTCAACTCAGACACCCCACTCACCCTACTCACCCCACTTATCCCACACACCCCACACACCCCACTCACCCCACTCACTCCACTTATCCCACACACCCCACTCACCCCACTCACCCCACTCACCCCAGTCACTCCACTCACCCCGCTCACTCCACTAACCCCACTCACCCGCACAGCCCAGCTCAGTCACAAAAGGACTTCGGCAGTGCAGAGCTCCCTCCCAGCAGGCCCAAGCAGGAGGGGCATGAGAGGTCATCAGCATTGGTGAGTGCCATTCACCCCAACAGCCCACTCACCCGCACAGCCCAGCTCAGTCACAAAAGGCTATGAGCAGTGCAGAGCTCCCTCCCAGCAGGCCCAAGCAGGAGGGGCATGAGAGGTCGTCAGCATTGGTGAGTGCCATTCACCCCAACAGCCCACTCACCCGCACAGCCCAGCTCAGTCACAAAAGGCTATGAGCAGTGCAGAGCTCCCTCCCAGCAGGCCCAAGCAGGAGGGGCATGAGAGGTCATCAGCATTGGTGCCGTTGAAGAGAGCGACTGGGGTAGTAGGGGGGGTTGAGAGGGGTTGAATGGGTTTAAGGGGCATGTAGGGAAGAGAGACCATCAGCAATGCATAGCTCTCTCCCAGCAGGCCCAAGTGGAAGAGGTTTGAGAGGTCTTCAATGGCATTGGTGCTGTTGAAGAGAGTGACTGGGATAAACAGAGGTATGGAATGGTCAATGGGAGGCACAAAGCAGTTGAGAGGGGTTGAGGGCGGTTAAGAGGGGCTGCGGGGTCATGTTGAGATGAGAGGATACAACCAGGAGAGTAGAGCAGCTGGCTTGCCCAAGCAGGTAGGGTCTGATCTGAACTGAACGGTCTTCTGCAAATGTGCGGTTGATGTAGGTGCCTAGAAACGTAGGAAGTGGTTGAGAGGGATAAAGGGGTGCAAGGTGAGAACGGCACAGGAGCGGATGAGATTTGGGTTTTGGGGCCTTTGGGTATGAGAAGCAGCCAGGAACCTCTCAAACTCCCTCAACCCATTCAACCCCCCTCAACCCCCCCTACTACCCCAGTCACTCTCTTTGGGTATGAGAAGCAGCCAGGAACCCAAAGAGGTAGGGGCCTGAAAGGGCATTAAGAGAGTGAACTGGGTAGTATGGGTGGAGAGGGGTTGAGACAGGTTGAAAGGGCATGTTGGAATACGAGTCTAACAGCAGTGCAGAACTCCCACGAAACGAAAAAGACAGACGCATGGGTGAGAGGTCATCAGCATCCGTACCGTTGAACAGAGTGACTGAGACGAAAAAGACAGACGCAGGGGTTGGGGTGGGAGGGGAGGGAGGGGTGAGTCTCAGGGTTCGGGGTTTAAGGGTTAAGATTAGGGTATGAACAGCAACCAGGACGGGTGTGAGAGGTCACCAGGATCCGTGCCATTGAACAGTGTGACTGAAAAGACAGGCAGGGGTACAGAGGGGTGCACTGCAGGGCTTTAAGTTGCATTGGTATTTTGCAATAAGCTGTCCTGCTTTGGCTGAGAGGCCCAACAGCTCTAGTTGGTTCAATAAATTCGCAATTTGTCATCAGCGTTTGTAGCATGGATTGACATGAGAGGCCAGGGCGAAGCAGGGACATGGGCGTGGGGAATAGGGGAACATAGCGAAATGGGGAGAGGGGCCAGATGAGCAAGTGCAGAGGCAACGAATGGGGAGAGGGCTAAAGAAGCAGGGGCAAAGGCAGCCGGATTTTTGGACGGAACGGGGGACAAAGAGCAGCAGTGTACTTTTCTGAGCGATGAAAGAGCAATCCAGTAGAAAATTGGGTTTTACTGTACACTCCAGTATCTCACATCTACCCATCAGGTTCTAGAAGCTGTTTGGGGTGTACTATAGGCTGCACTGATGTGCTTGCATTGCATTCTACAGTTCACACTCACCTCTCTCAAAATACAGCCATCGCAGTTGCCCACCTTAGTGAGGTAGAGGGTTTAGAAACGGAGAGGAGTGACGGAGGGAGGTTCTTAGTGAGGAGAGAAATTATTGGTGATGAATTGGCATGGAAAAGACAGATGCTGACTGAAAGCTGGCCGATGCTTGTGATGTGTATTATGGGATCAGCTTGTCATGTGTGCCACCAAGAATTTGGATGTCTCAACTCTACCACTCTCTCAGAACTACCAGGACTTACAAAACTCATTACACAGATCACTTACAAATATACAAAAAGAGTGTGATGAAGAGTGTAGTATACGATGGCTAACAAAAAAGAAGCATGACACTACTTGACCTAATGCACTCAGATTACCATACACTATCTTCCTGTCAGGCTAGAACTTCTTGAATGTCAGCCCATGCATGGCCCGGAGTCCATAGCGCAGTGCACGTGACATGCCATCGATCGCTTGCTTGGACCCTTTCACATCCAACCGCTGCAGCAGCTTCAGCTCAGACAAATCATCAGGCAAGGCCTTCAGTTTCATACAGTGAGTGAGACTGAGTGTCCTCAACCTGGTCAGCTGTGAAAACCTGGGAGGAAGGGAGGTGATAGAAGTACTGTCAAGTCTAAGCACGTAGAGGCAGCCAAGCTGCGTGTGCGAAGATGGAAGCTTCTGCAGAGCCGTACACCCTAACAGATCCAGCTCGTGCAGCCTGGATAAAGCATCGATGCCATCGGAGATCGAGGCAAGCTTGCGTGCAAGGACCTTCAGCGATGTCAGGTGTTGGAGCTGTGAGACTGTTTCTGGCAGCTCCCTAAGCTCCTCAAAGTGACATATCCGCAAATCCCGCAGCTGTAGCAATGAGGAACAGATGCTTCCTGGAAGGGTCCAAATCCTTTCACCATGCCAGATACTCAAGACTTGGAGCCGCGAAAGTGGGCTTAAGGGAATAGAAAGCTCATCAACGTTGCCAGCTAACCCCAGCTTCCCATTGTTGTACTAAATCAAGACCTCAAGAGAGAGTGGCAATGGCATAGGAAACTCACACAGCCGTTTGCACCCAGTTACCTGCAACCTCTTCAGCTCCCCAAGGCTGCTTAGTCTTCTTGGCAGCACAGAAAGCTGATCGCACCACTCAATGATCAAGGCTGAGAGCCTTGCGAGCCGTGTAACGGATTCTGGAATCTCGATGAGAGTAGAGTTTTGAATGCAGAGATGCTGCAGGTTAGTCAGATAGTACAGACATTCAGAAACCGCAACAATTGAGAAACCGCTAAGCTCAAACCTTGTTAAAGAAAACAGCTGCGTGAATAAGGTCGAAGCTGGTCCCGATTGAAATATTCTAAGTGAAGAGTCTCGAGGTTACTGAGCCATCCAATTCCATCTGGAAGCACCATCTTCCCATAGGTCTTGAGGCTCAGTGTTTTGAGAGATGTAAGACTGCAAATCTCTGCTGGCAGCCGTACCTTGCCACAGTAATTTAGGGACAGCTTCTCCAGGGAAATAGCTTGGCAAAGGGATTTAGGTGTGTTTAAACTAAACAGGTCGTGCAGCATCAGTGACTTGAGGGAAGGAAGCTCTCCGAAGTCAATGGGAAGGCTGTGAAGCTGGCTGCAGCTGAAAACGGACAAGCACTCCAATGCACTCAGGGAAGTGATGCTATCGGGGAGTTGCTCAAGCTCATCACAATCGTGAATGGTTAGTTCACGGAGGCACGGGAACAACTCTCCAAAGTCATCTGGGAGCCGCTGGAGGTTGGTGGATTTGGAGATCATGAGCTGTTCTAGACGGATGTACGGAGATCCTGTAGAGAACGTTGAAGTGAAATCTGACCTAGAGACTTGAAAATCGAGTGTCTTCAGATAAGGCAGCTGCGCAGCAGTGAAAGTTGCACCTGTTGGATCATTCTTCGATAGGCATATTTCACTGGATACTGAAAGGCTGGAAAGCATTGAAACGCGAGCGAGGCCTGCCAGTTGATCAAGTGTCAATTTCGGGACAGCAATATGCAGAGACGTGAGAGAAGGCAGTCTTGCAAAATTGGACAGTGTCATGGCTGAAACGTCGTGAGAAGAACCGTGTGGAGATGCTGCAACTGAAAAGGGAATCCGGCAACTCGGTGTCTTTATGGAGGCAGTGAAGCGAAATCTCCTCCAATTGAGTGCACTTCAGGAAAAAATTATCCAAGCCGGTTTCAGTAACTGGGTGATCATCCTTGTCGCCTCCACACTCCGTCGGTGTGATCCTGCAACCCACGTGAACAGCTTTCAGCTTAGGCCGTGAGGACGCAAGGCCAGCGAGGAACGCGTTGTCAATAACCTCGACACTGCTGTCGCTCAGATGAAGATTCGTGAGGTTGTCAAACAAAGCCACTGCGTTCGCCAGATCTTGACGAGATACGACAAGGTTTTCACGGACTGAAAGGCGGGTAGATTGACGCTTAACGAGATGACGCCAGCGACTGCATACGGACGCGATGAGCAGATTGTAAGCTGCATCTGCGAAGGCTGGAGGAGTGAATTTATTCGCCCTAAAATGCCAATGAGGAAGCGAGCCACATGAGGAATCAGAACCTCTTCGGAAGGGCATCCCATGCTGAAACCATATAATCTTTGTGAGAAGGTCATCTGAAAGTCGGTTAATGTGTGCGAGACGCTCCATCTGAACTTCATGGATCAAAGGACTGCTAAGAAAGGTATGAAATGATATCTCCTTCCCCAAAGCTAAAATGACAGGGGATTAAGATAGTCTGCTCATATACGGATCTCACAATCTCAGCTCCTCATTCCTTCTCTACTATTAGAAAAAACGAAAAATCACGTCGCAACCATTCGCTTGCTGACCTGCGGATTGGAGGTAGTCAAGTACGCGCCGTGCTTGTGTTGTAGGAAGAGCTGTCGATCTCAGTGTAGACGCTTAGGCCTTGTCGAAGCTGGGCATGGTGGCTGATGTGTTTTCCTATTCTCGAGATCGTTCATGGCTATACCTGACGAAGCAGGAGTGAGCACTTTCTTAGACCTACAGAAAGCCCAAGCTGGGCCAAGCTGACCAGGTTTCGCGCTGAACGCAACTTCACTTGACGAGGTCCAGGGGATCTCACTGTAGGAATGTGTTATCACTCTGACAGTATGATGCTGTGCTTACTGGGCTCGGCTCGGTTCAAATCGATCTGGCTCGGCTAGAAACGGTTAGGCTCGGCTCAAATTCACTTGGCCTGGCTCGTCTCAGTTCGACTTGGTGTGTGCGAGGGGGAAAATGGTGGGAAGAAGGTAAAGCGAATTTCTGAGATATGTATCCCGATTTCCGAACTAGCTCCCCCCGAAACCACCTGCACCTGTCTTGAGCAACCCTTCGCACACACTGCTTCCCATACGCCTGCTTTTTGCCCTTGGTATGTTCACGTATCTCGCAATGGCAGACACAGCGGCAATCAATAGCTCAGAAACGATTACTCCATCGGGGATTAGCCATCTACCTGACGACATTCTCGTTATTATTCTGGCGCATTCCTTCAAGGAGCACGTTTTCCACGGATCCGCTAGTGACTCTTTGTGGCAGCACTTCGAACAGAAACCTAAGTCCCTCTCCGAGTACTACTTCGAAGATGACTCATTTCCATACCATAAAATAAAAACTGCTCTACCAATTCCGCCACCGTGCATAGATGTCGC